AWAYACWYTWTWWYMCYYTKTKKYGCRCRYKTTTYTYTWYACAYWWTTACACTTTGGCTATTACTCCTTGTTTYACGGGTTAAGGAAAAGAACTGTATACATTCAATGTGGGTATGCGAGCATTGGTCCTGAGACTGGTTAGTCGGCAGGTGTGACGAGGAACGCGTAGGCAGGCAAAGAGTTTCTGTATCAGTCGAACATGTATGAACTAACATTGGGATTTTGCATGCACATTAATGTAAGGCGCGACGTTTGTATTTACCTTTCTGATGGAGTAGTTTGATTCACTGTTTTTCCTTCCATTTCCTSTCGTTCCAACCGTAGTCTCTCTATTTCAAGTTCTCTACTGCGTCGTTCTCTCTCCCTCGTTTCTTGATCAAATGATTGGGAAAATCTTTGCAAGTCCAATTTGCCTACAGCCTTTTTGTTCTGTGTAACAACGCCGTCTTCCTCATTATCACCGTAAGTTGTTGTTTTGGACCGTTCTACGCYGTTGCTTTGCCTTCCTGTGCTATCTTTTCTTCCATAGTCAGATTTGCTGTGTTTTCTTTCAAGATCAGATTTGCTGCTTTTTCTTTCGCGGTCTTGCTGAGCGCTTGGAGTTTTCTCCACGCTGAAAATGTCTTCTGTTGGTGATGATTCGACTTCGTGTGAAACATTTTGTCGAAGGGCAATGGATTTGTGAGCTCTTTCACGTTCTAACTGTCGTGAATTCAATTTCTCTTCTTCGTCGCGTCTTCGTCTTTCATGTTCAAGTTCTATTGCTCTTTTTCTGCTTATTTCGTCTTCCTCTCGGAACGAATGAACGATATTATCTATGTCGAGTTTACTGACGCTCTTTTCTTCTTGWGTTCCACCATTTTGAAGATGTTGAGGCTGGAAATYATCGTCATCAYTACGTTGTTCGCGTAACAACAGTTCTTTTTCTTCTTTGTCACGCCGAATTCGTTCTTGTTCAAGAGCCCTCAGTCGCTGTCTTTTCTCTTCGGCTTCYTCGCCAAATGATTTAGTTATCTTATTGAAGTCAAGTCTTCCTACACTTTTTCGCTTTTCTTCGTACATTTGATCGTCGTTCAGCTCGTGGGATTGAGAGGGTAMTTCTCTYACTACATTCCTGTCTTGTTCTGTAACTTCWTTTCTTTCATCATAAATGATTCTTGTCTSTTCYTTTTCTTTTCGAAGAGGTTTTTKCTCACGATCCAGTTTCTGCTTTTCTTCCTTTTCGCGTYGAATTCTTTCTGTTTCGAGGCGCCTTCTCTTTTCTTCTGCTTCTTCGCCAAATGACTTTGTAATCTTTTCGAAGTCAAGCTTTCCTACACTTTTTCTCTTYTCCTCATACATCAGGTCTTCACTAAGRTCGGCTGGTGAAGAATGGACTTCTTGCGTGACTGTTTCTCTAATGACTTCATYYTGCACTTTTTCYACTGACTTTTCTTTCCTTTTTTGCTGTTTTTCTCGCAACAAAATCTCTTTTTCTTCCTCTTCACGACGCCTTCTTTCTCTGTCTAATTCTTCCTGACGCCTCCGGCGTTCTTCGGCTTCTTCGTTGAAAGACTGTCTTATTTTYCCAATGTCAAGCTTTCCTACGCTTTTCTTGGGAGGCTCTTGTTCAACTRCTTCATCTTCAAAGTATGTTGGTTCTGATTGAACTTCATAGACTGACTGCTCTTTTATGACATAATCGTCCGTCTGGTGTYTCTGYTCTTGCAGAAGTAGCTCCCTCTCTTCATTTTCTCTTCGAATTCGCTCTTCTTCAAGTTCTTTYAGACGCCTTCGCTTCTCTTCTGCCTCGTTAGAAAATGATTGAGTAATTTTGTTAAAGTCAAGCTTCCCAACAGTCTTTGGCTTCTCTTCTACTACTATTTCATCATCRTAGTATGAATATGGAGCGGATTCGACTTCTTTTACAGCTGTGCTTTGGACAATCTCTCGTTCCGGTACATTCTCCYTTGGAACCTCTGGTGACTKCTTCATGGACGTCTTCCTTGGAACTTCAACAACAGTGTCTTTCTGTTGGAACTGTGAGAATTGTGAAAGRTCAATTTTGYTCACACTCTGTGGCTTATCGGTCTCTGTAATGMGSGATCGCTCATCATCGGAGTCCTGCTGTTGTCTTCTTAGTTCTTCCTCTCTTTGTTGCTCCATTTCTTCTAGTTCTCGTCTAACTCGTTCTTCCTCTAACAGCTTTTTRCGTCTCTCYTTGTCRTCAATGTCATCTCCCATCATCTGCAGATATCTTCCTTTGTCCAGTCTTCCAATACCTTTCTGTTGACTATCAAAAGATTCGGGACTTGATTCAACTGGAATTGTCTCTTCCACGTACAACACTTCCTCTGGTTTCATCTTAGTACGGCTCTCCTTTCTGGCAAGTTTACGCTCTTCCCTGACTTCATCCCTGCTCTTCTTTCTGTTGAGAGAGTTAGGGCTTTTACCACTTTTTTGGAAAGGAGACATCACGCTGTTKTCCAGTCGCTTGACATCCTGAGGCTTTTCAGTCACACTGTTAAATTCATTTCCAAACACTTCTTCACTATCAWTTTGGAGGCGTTTATTCTCTTCACTTCTAAGTTTGTCAATTTCATATTGCTCTTGTTTCACCCTTTGCGTCTCAGTCTCTTTACGGCGTTGTTCGGTTTCTTTGGACTCTTGCTGATACATCTGAGTCATCCAGTCTTTATTAATTTTACCAACACTGCGTCGCTTTAATTCGTACTCCTCCTCTGGGGTGAGCTTCTGTGGTGCTGACTCCACTTCTTTGACAGTCCTMACTGTCACCACCTCGTTACTTTGGACTGTTCTATCTTCCTTCTTCTGGATGGGTTTGCGCACTGGGGCTTGCTCGGGTTTTTCCTGTTTAAACTTAGAAAACAAACTCATGTCCAGTTTTTTGACGTTCCTACTTTCGTACTCTACACWGTTAGTATTAYTATCACTACCACCCTCCTCYTCCTGGGGGATGTGGAAAGCCTTATCGTGGACWTTTTTAACGTGTTCTATCTGCTCGCGTTCGAGTTGAAGGCTTTTTTCCCATTCACGCATTTCACGTTCACGATTTATCTTCCTGTTGTCCGAAACAGGCGTTTGGCGACCAACGTTAGGTGACATAAAGTCATCTTTCGAAGGTTGTTCGGRGCGYGTTTCATCGGCTGAAAACGGGAAGCGACTCTTATCTAGTTTATTGACAGTTCTGACGCTAGTATTAAGATCCTGATTTTTCCCTTCCAAGGGCGGGRMAGACTCTTCCAGTGTCACTGCCTGAAGCACAATGTCCTCAGCATCTTTATTCGACGGTTTAGTACCAGATGTATTACGCYGTATAAAAGGGCTTGAGCCAAGGTTTAATTTGCCTACGGCCCTTTCTCTTACCTTAACTTCAAATAGATCTTCTTCGGCTGTCGCAGGAGCTGATTCGACTGTTTCAACATTCTTGATATCAACTCTTTCTCTTGAAGTACGTTTTGTTAAGACCTTGGAGACCGGTCTAGGTTCTTGCACAGTTTCYTCAGTCTTTTKGAAGCCAACGAATCTTGTTAAATCAATCTTGTTGACGYTCTTAGCCTTGACCTTGGCATCAAACTCATCGTCTTCAAAAGTGTTAATTGTTGAAACGACTTCGCGGTCTTCTTTTTCACGACGACGTCGTTCTTCCTCTCTAGCGCGCTCAATTTCTTCCATTTCTCGACGATTTCGCTCTTCTCGTTCTCGTCTTTGTCGCTCTTCGTYTGACATGGTTTCGTAAATTAAGCTTGACTTGTCGATTTTTCCAATTTCAAAATGTTCATCTTCATCCTTAAACAAKAACAAAACATTCATTAGCACAATATTATTCCACATTAACGTATTTCCCGTTGGTTGTCATTGTTTGCGCTGTTATAGATACTGATGTTAGAGTCCATAAAGTGGTTAGCTTTATGTCTGTTTATGTTGTTGACGCAGATGACTATTGYAGTCGTTTCTGTTCTAGTAGTAGTTAGTGCAGTTGCGTCATTTATGATTGCTGTTGCTTGAATTATCGGTGTTATTRGAAAGAGAATTCTGGAGTTTGTTTTGGCGTATGTTGTTGTTTTTGTAATCGTTTCTACTGTTGCAGCTGCTTATGTGGTGTCAAACTTATTTACTTTTCATGACGATGCCATTTTTTGATATGCTCTTCTTGATCGTCATTGTAGCTCCTGTTGTTATTATATAATTGCCCTATTTCATTATGACGTCACAGTATGTTTACATCGGAAAACGATGCTCAAAAACAGCGGAAATTTGGACCCATTTATATTGTCGACTAAAGTAGAACTTCAGTGAATCGTGTTTTGATATATATGATGTATAAATGATTGCTCATGTACATTTTATTTGAAATGCAGTCACTCTGATCCCTTCTGGCGACCATAATCCTTAGCGTTAAAACAATAGAATGTTTTGATGTGACGTCATAATGAACTAGGKCAATTGTTTGGTCTAAGTGTGAAATAAGCAGTCCGAAATTCCCTTTTGTTGGAAATKACTATTAAGACGTGATTATATGAAGCGCGCTGACCCTGGTTGACCGGGCATATTTCCGGCTGTTTTGTTTCCCATATAGGGAAAAGAAAACAAACGAAACCAGCCCGTTGAACCACCGTCCCACTTCACAGCAAGGATAAGATCCCTAGCTGTTGTGAGCATTGTGATTGCATTTATAATCAGCCTACCTGTTCTTCCACATCTTCATTATCCGACGCKTGCAGCTCTACTTTTTTAGGGACAAGCATTTCCTTCTTGGAATCAGTCCGTTGGATTTTTTTAATCTGCTCGTAGCGGCTTGATTCACTTTTACGCCACTTCTGTGGACCTTCTCTTTCATTTTCGACCGTCTTCYTTCCCCCTGTTATACAAAACAGCCTTTGAGAAAAAGGTCGTGGCAAATTATAACAAAATAAAATAGTTATTTTCTCCTATATTAGGGACATAGGATGGCCTAGTAAAGTCAGTTCAACACGTCACAACAAAGTGAATGTAAGTATAGCTGTTCAATATATTTATAGCTSTTCAATACTAACAATAAGGGAAACATGATGTCCAAGTTTGCTGAAAGTCAACTGAAAAATAGTTTTTCAAAATAAAAACGTTTACTTTCAAACGCAATAAATGACATCTTTTTGTTTAGGTTCTGTATTTTTCGAGGTTTACTCGATAATTTGGTTAGATTATTATTTTTTCTTTCTTTTTTTGCCATTATTTTTTACTAGGTGTGTCCATAAGTTTACTTCATTATTGGTTGTCTGTAGCCTCCTCCGCAGGCATCACTAAGAATCACGGGCTTCCTGTCTTAAGAGCCTGTGGAGGAGGCTAGGTTGTCTGATTGCTTGGTAGGATTGGTTGATTTACTTACCTTCAAAGATAGATGTRTTAATCTTTCCAGGTTGAAAGTGTCCTGCTCTTTCCCACCTTGCCTCTTCTTCTGTCATGCGATTTCTTTCATCAACATCAACAATGGGTTTTCTTTGATCTTCCTCGTCATCGTCATCTTTATGAGTTGTTTGGTCTTCTACATTATCCCATAATCCGCGCTGAAGGTGATACAATGATAGGTAAGTATAAAAAATTAGTAATTATTAGGGAAGTCTAGCCAACATGTTTGAAAAGCAATTTAAGTAATTGTGACCTTCATTGCGAACGTCTTAATGTARCCCACTAGCCTAAGTATCTCAAAGCGTATTGGAGCAGAGCGGCAATCCTCTTGGAGAGAGCCTGGTACTCAAGCTAGTAGGATTCCCACAAAGGTTAGAACAACAGGACACAACATAAAACAGCTAACATTAGAATACGAAAAATGCCTAAAAACTTTGAAAAAAGTGTCTCTGTGGAACTCTTAGACATCCCCTGGATCACCCACTGATCATTATATTACTAGGAATTCTTCTCTAAAAAACAGTTATTATGACAGCTGTTCGTTCATAATTGTGATAAATAAGACATTACAAATGGGTATGTTTTTCACAACTCATAATTAACAAAAAAATTTCACTCACCTTGGGTGCACTCTCCAACTCGCTAGACTCACTGTAGCTGAAACAAAATAAAAACTCTTTCAGAACTTTTCTCAGATCATGAAATATTTTCTTTTTATAGAGTTATTGTTTTTCTAAGATAATCCAAAGAATTTACCATCTCGGGTCTTTTAAAAATTTACAGTACAATTTTCAAATAAACAGATTGAATCTATGATATCTATCGAAAAAGTGAAAATGCGTTACCTATATGTTCTTGTCACGATTATTGCGTTACGACAGCATATTATAATATGTCTCGGAAATTTTTAATTCAAAGACTACGGAAAACAAAAGACGTCAAATTGAAAAGACCAAATATCARAAAAATGATATTYCGAGTTTGATAGAAGGAAAACAAATGAAAGGCTCCACCATAACAACAGTCTTCGACCAAGCTATGTATGAATTATTAAGTGACATCATTGATCAAACACAGATTATCCAGAGGTCAGAATTATTCTGAAYAAAAACAATGCAAGCCAGACGTCGGAGTATATCTTTCATCTTTAGAATCCGTTTTGAAATCTCGCTCATTGAGAGCGATGATAATAGCTGGAGTAGTAATGGAGAAAACTGAGAAATAACTACAGTACTTAGGATTTATATTATTGAAATAAAATACTTTTGGGATTACGTTGTTTATACAACAAAGGGTGAACCGACATTGACAGCCGAAAATTAAAAAGCTAGTATCAAATAACAAGTTATAAATAACACTTGATTTCACTTTGGTCGCGAAGGTAACCATGTTTGATTTTTATTTACGAGAATTTTCGACTTTAACCCTTCTGAAGGTTCAAATTCCTAAAACAGTACGTGCAAGAATGGYATGGACAACTTGCATTAATGAGTGTTTATAGTTCCGCTTACATTGTATAATTCTTATAAACGAAAGAAAATATGTCTTTGGGACTTAATTGTAATCTCGAAATTATCTCCAAAATTCAAAACGAGCATAATCTTCATGGAAAAACTAGGTTCWAATAAGTAAAAATCATGCATGTCTSTTTGCAACATAAATGCACATATGCAATATTTAATATACAACTTCAACAACTGAACATTTATTAAAGTCTAATATCTGCAATATGGCAGGGTCAGATGTTTAATAATAAAAAAAACATGTCCGTTGATATGAAGAAGATATGAAGATAATGAATCTATCGACCAAGAGTCACTAAATAAATATTCAACGTCCGATATTCTTACCTGATGTCATCYGGTGCCTGGTAGTTGTAGCGCTGTTCAACAACATAGTTCGGTGTCGTTTCTTCGGCATTGTTATTGTTCAAACTCTTCCACGACTTCTTGGTTTCAAAYACTATGTTATCAGCGCTTGGCTCGTCTTGCTCTACGTCGTGGAACTTGGTTTTTAAACGACCAGGCTGGAATTGACCAGCTCGTTCCCATTTAAGCTCGTCATCATTCAATTTGTGGTGTTCATCWACGTCTACCAATGGAGTTCGCTGTTCTTCATTCTCATCTTCCATATCCATCGTCCCTGCAATTCCAGTTGAATTAACAGCACTTGGCTGAAGAGAGAAGAACAAGCAGTTGTCAAAATAAAGTTTACGAATATCTCGAAGGAKGTCACTGCGTTGCGACGCAAAGCGACCAAGAAACTTCTAATTCTATGCGCATGTGTMATGCGATTAGTACTGTCACGCATTCTCACGTACTTGGTACCTTAKGAGATTTTTTCTTGAAGAAGTGTTATTCTGTAATAATTCTCTTTAGCGAAAGGGTTTTGAAGGGAGAGAGAAGAGGCGTTATTGCGATCTATCGCGAGTAATTATTCCGAGCCACTCGAGAACATTTACACAAAAGTAGTCACTGAAGGGTGTCATGAACATTCCCACCGCAATAAACGATTAATATACAAATAGATACAAAAATAAACTACACAATCTTCGGTGCAATTAAAWTGGTATTAATTACTTTTAAATCGACTTTCATAAAAAAACGCTGAAAATATCTTAAAATGAATAGAAATAGATTCAGAAGACATTGAGAGTCTTAGTTCCATATCAWTGATTTATAATCCAAAGTTGCTAAAACTTTTGTGTTGTTTTCTCGACAATAGTTTTTACATTTTGGCATATTAAGTTCATGAATTATTAAACAAAACATTGGAAACTGATATCTTATGGATATAAAAAGAACTTRGTTTCGTGATGAGAAGAGAAATATATGAAGAGATTTGGCACTTGAAGTACYATCCTGAATTTATTTTTTTATATGAAAGTAAGCTAAGTACTTATATTACTCTAATGCCATTAAGGTACTCAGACTGCTAAGAGTGGGTGTCGCTTTAACGTAAATTAAAAAAAATACTAAAAATGCACAGATAAATCAAATGTGTTTTTACGTATAAACGATTCTTGCTTGAACTATAATATTCTTAAAAAAATCAGTACTCCTGAATCTCCTTGTGTGGTATCTAAATTCGAAGTCGTCTTAATACTTTGAGAGTATTAAAACCTCTCCGGGCCAGCAGGACATCGACAAGTCAATTAATATCGGATTCGAAATTAATATCATGGCGAATTCGTATAATTATATCAAAAGAATGGTGTATTGATACACGRTTTGGTTAAATCACCCGTGGTGTTTGTTTAGGACATAGTTTGAAGTGYTGCGCAGAAACACAGCACTGACGAGATATTGAAKACGTTATTCTTGAGATTAGACAGGAATCTGAAAAAACATCAACGAGGATTTTAATTTTGTTTCATTCTTTCTCTTATTTCCTTTTTCCTGATTTAYGCATACAGCATTTGCGCGTCCCACTTTTTCCAAGAACTGCATTGTGAGATAACATGAACACTGATTTTAATTATTTTTTCCATTTTTTCTGTTCTTTCTTCTTCTTCTTTTTTCTTTTTTTCTGATTTTCGCATTTACACAGCATTTGTACATCACACTTGCCCCAATAACTGCATTGGACGGATTGACACCGTATAAATTGATAAAACAGTTTCGGCGCTATCTGGCCACATCAATATATTCTATAGCTTTAGCGATGGGGAGTATGAGAGAGYAGATTGTCTCTGATAACAAGACATAAAAAATCCGATGAAACGAACTGCATTTCGTAAACAGTCAACAGGTTAGAGTAAATAGATAATAAAAAGTCAGAAATATATTAAGATGGGCATTCAGTGATAAAAATACTATATATAATTGTAACTGAACTAGATAGTTTGAAGGTCAACTTTTGAAGTAAATGCAGACTTGCAACTTTTAGCTACATTTAATGGATAGCGACTCTACTTAGAAATGACAGTGTGTGGAACCTAACAACCGTTTAAGATCCCCCTCCCTCTAGGTTTGAGACCTGTTCATAGTCAACAATGAATCCAGGGGGAGGTCCGACTCCTTCATGTCACATCTGAGGTCACAAACACACTCAATGGTGAATTTGTGGTTGCATCGATCTAAACTAAGCATACAATACATATATCAACATAAATCGCCCTAACATAAGTTGGTTCGACTTACGTCAGACTCAACTGCTTCCATCATCATCTTGTCGTAACCGAAGGAAGTACGCCTTGGTTGGTCCTCTTGCTTGTTCTCAGGCCCAGGCCCCTCTCCTTCTGCGTATGATTCCCACATCATCAGAAGCGAGCGTCTTTTTTCTTTTAAATCCTCAACGTCATCAGAAGACTGKGGACGAGATCGTTCTTCATTGCCATAAGATTCAGGCTTCTCSCGTCGCTTCACGCTTGCGCGTTTCTGCTTTTCCATGATCTGCCTTTGTTTTTCTTCGATTTCGAGTTGTCTTTTTCTTCGYTCATCGTCCGTAGATTTTTCTTGATAACGCGGGATTGGAACGGGTGCTACCACTTCCTGGAATTGATGTAAAAACGAAATATAAGTGTGCCGAAGTGGAAAAATACTTTGGCTGGACAACAAGTGTTCCATATCAATACCACAGCGATGGGAATCTCAAAGACACGGCAATATAGTCTTTCTCGCCTTACGGACACAACGCTCATAACGAACACCTCGATATTGCGGACAGTAAAATACTGAATCCCCGGCGAAAAATACAAAGAAATGACTGAAAGTAACTTTCGTTACTACGGACTCTCGCTACTGCGGACACTAAAATAAGGTCCCGACGGTGTCCGTAATAGCGAAAATTGACTATAGTGAGGCAGTTGATAAACACGTCACATCTCACGTGTGCGAAATGTAATGCACACCTCTTATAATACTTCCTAAAAAAAAGTCATCTGTATTATCCTCCATGTCGAAAAACACAGTGCCCGAGAGGTGATTTGGATTTATATTCGACACTTAAAATTCGACGTCTAAATCAAATGCCGTATTCACTGGATTATTTTATTCGACTAAAGCAGAATTGCATTCGGCTCATGTGAATTTCAGAGTACAACCTATGCCTAACAGGGTCCAATTAAAAACGAGTCACCAATAGACGTGACAGAACTTTACAATGTGCACGTTGTCTTAGTAAACATCAATAAAAGAGCCCTCAATTACACCATTATTTTACCAATTAACACATAGTGCTTACAATGAATTTATTAATGACACAAGCGATCGGCAAAAACAAGTTGAAAAGTGTATACATTTTACGAAGAAATATGATAAAATGTCGATCATTACATAGAGTTTCACGCTATTATACTTAATCCGTTGCATACAATAGAATTTATCTACTAGAATAATAATAAAATGTAGATGCATGGATTTATCCAACCGATAAATCTGAATGATGCGTTTAGGAAAATAATTAAAATTAAAATAAACCCAGTATGTCCAAAATTATGTACAATTTTCGTTTCCAATGTTCATATATTTTACGTAACTCCATGCCTTTTCTTTGTATTGGAGTCTAGAATCTTCTTTATGGTGTTTTATAAACATTTTCAAAGCAATAAAATCTTTCCCACGAATGTCAGAAGTTGTTTTGGGTCAAAACACACAGCTTTCGACACTARAGAACATTTTCTATGGATATAGAAATATAGAAATAGCAATAAAATTTGCGAAAATAGTTAAGAAGACTGCGCAAACCTGCAGAACGGAGACTTTTCTCGGAGCAATGATGAAAACTATCGGGCCACTCATGCTAGTTTGATAAACTTCTGGAGACTAAACCAAGTTGTTTATCTTTCGGATTCACTAAAGAACCACTGTTAGCCAGAACAAATCCAGCACCAATTGGTTGACACTGAAATTTTCTTAAGTTTGGAGATGAAGAATATAAAAAATAGAGTGACAGCTTGTACAAATAATAAAAGCGTTTGAAAACAACTGATGTTGAACGACAAGACAAAAAAGTCTTAAGTGAATAATTTACGGTGTGGTTTTATTGTCAGCCAATCACAATGTGCATATCTTTAGCGACAAGGAAGACTTCATAGTGTTCTGCAAACCCCCTACTATTCGGAACATCAAACATAAAATCAACCTGACCTTTGCTTAAACTTTTCTCACCGAACAATGAAGAAAGGGAAAAAAACAAATAAAACTTTAACAGAAGCTATTATTTGACAGACGAGATGTTGAATCTTGTTTTGGAAAACAATGACATTCTAATTCAATATTCGGGGAAACATTCAGCGCATTAATCTGTGGAAAACAATTTCATTTGATACACTCAATGTAACCAAGCAAGTTTGCAGATGTRCATCATTAGTTCCCTAAATCAAAAGAATTAGTTGCTTGATGATCTGCCAGTCAGTGCTTATACAAAAAATGTTAATGGAACATCTATTCAACGTAATCCTCTGAACAGCCTTATAAGCAGTACTAAAACAATACTACAAAACTCTCCACATCTATGTAATCACCGTTTCAGAAGGAACATTACTGTACAGACCCCAAAGGGCATTGAAAAAATATCGGTTAAACTACTAAAAGTCAGAAGAAATGGAAGATGAGTCCTAAGCCGAATATTTGCAGATTTAAGTAGGCAGCCTTCCCTTCCCATGATAAATGCTCTTTTTCAAGTAGACTGACTCCATAAGGTGTGGTGTTCGATAAGAGATCCCTAAAATAGCGTACCGTTTTAAAGACTAATTAAAATTAATCAAGATTATAAATCGAGTAGGGATATAATAAATTGCCTACGTGCCTTATACAATAAAATCCGTATCCARCCTCTACCTGAAACTATAGTTACGTTATCACTAATCTTACATGTTCGGAAAACTGTATTTTTTTAAGTTTAYTTTTATTTATTTATTTTTGCATATGATACGAAAAAGGGTAAAAACAGCACATTACCTTAATTGGACTCGGTTCGGGTGAAGTTCTCTCGGCTGGTARCTCTCTTCGTGGTTCCAAAGTAGGCTGCTCGACATGTATATCTGACTCAATGTCATGCAGTATAACTGGAGGGAGATCATTTCTTCCTTTGTTGAATGAACCAATGCGGTTGATACCACCACGGTCAAGAGAGCCYTTGTACCCATCTGTATCATCAATTATGATCTGCTCCTTGCCTCGTCGCTCCTGACTGCGCTCYGCTCTTGCCAAGGAWCCCTGGTAATCTGTTGTCTCCAAGAKGCGTTCTCGTGGTTTCTTKACTGGTTTTGTRTCCGTTTTAGAGTCACTAAATTCGTTGAGTCTTTGACGTGGCTTTTTGACYGGTTTAATGTCGCTGTTGTCCAACTCAGGTTCGACTGTTCTTRGCTTCTTTTCAGGCTCGGCGTCTTTAAATATAGGCCCATTTCCGGCGTCGACAACATCCTCGTCCCAAGTAATGAGATCCGTCTTAGGGTCCAGCGAACGTTGTTCTAATGTTATCTGTTTTGATATCGACTTCCCRGGGTCGTCTGTGCTCTCAACTGTATTAGTAACTGTGGTTTTCTTAACGGTGAACACGATGTCGTCTGGTTCATCGCGCATTAAGTCCAAACCTGRAAATTGACTATGAACTGGTTCAGACTYATCTASTTTGACTTCTTGCTCTTCTACGAGATTTCTGCTTGGCTTCGATTGTTTATTTGCGTCGTTATCCTTTTCTGTCGGCCGTTTGGCTGAGAATGCAATTTCGGTATCATCCGATTTTGTGGCAGGGGTCCAAACATTTGGCTCATCCAACAGTGATCCAGAAAGAGAGATGGTTTTGGTCGTTTTGGTCGTTGTCGTCTCTTCACCTGTAATATGAATATTAGCATTAGACCTGCAATTTTTAAGTATTCTCTACTTGCGCATACCCAGAATACCTTCTGATTTTGGGGGGTACTTATTGTTATTGAAATCATTTATATTTGAATAACAATTAATTTTATTTGCATCACAAAACCTACCCCCCAAAATCAGAAGGTATTATGGGTCATGTGCAAGTAGAGAATAGGGTGAGCGGTGTTCATAAGCCCGCAAAATACACAATAAAGTATTTGGTTCTATAACACTTGACTACTGTCCCTTTTGCTTGCTGTTTTGACCTTGGGGGAGAAGGGGTCTAATAAAATAGTTTTTTGACTATCAAGCTTCCTTCCCTTTGACTTATAACTTAAAACAACTTACTTATAACTTGACACAACTTACTTGAATCTTTCTTGTCTGAAGATGGCTTCTTCTCTGTAAATGTGATATCTGAAGCATCATCTCCACCCATGTATACGTCACTTGAACCAAATCCTGACCCTCGTARTTCTAACTTCACGCCTGCACTCTTTGTTGGCTTGGTGTCTATTCCTTCGGAAGCTAATCGCCTYCTGTTGCGCTCYTCGCGCATCCTTGCTCTTCTACTTCTTGAATCATCCTTGTCGTCATTGAAGGCAYTTGARGAGGTTTCAGTTGTAACGGTTCTCGTTATCTTTACGGTATCATCCACGTTCTCGCCCGAGGAACGTCTGAGCATTCTCGCACGACGCTCTTCCATGTCTTTGATCTTCTTCTCCAGTGACATCGATCGTTCTTTTGTATCWTCGCGCGCCTTTTTGCTGTCAGGATCATCGTCTGATCGGCGCCGACGCTCGTACGATCTTTTACTTCGTTCAGTCATGGTAACATCATCTGAATCGCGTTCAAACTTTTTTCTGTCTTCATCGAATTTTGCTTTCATTGCTTCGCCAGCTTTTCTGATTTCTTCTTCTTCAAATTCACTATTTTTCTCTGTTGGGCTTGATTCTACAGTCGTTTCTTCTTTCGTGGTAAATTTATACTCAGTTTGTATATCGTCTCCCGAYAAGTAATGTGGGATGCTGTCACCGTCTGTCTTGGACAGAGTTAGATCCTCTAGCGATGAATCTGGTGTRGAACCTTTCTCTTTTTCCTCCGCRCGCCTCCATGAAGGCTGGTCGGATCGCAGTTTCATCTTCACCTCAGATTTCTTCATTTCGTTCTGAACAATATCCTCCACTTTCTGCTCTTCGAAATCTAAAGGAACAATCCTACGATAGCACCCAGTTTCTGGGTCGTACTCCATCTTCTTGGAACGTGATCGATTCATGTTGAGATCTGCTTCTTGGTTGGAATGAGAGTAGTTGTCATAGGCTCTTCCTTGTGGTGACTGAATCAGAAATTCAGTTCGAACGTTTGGTGAGATCTGATTTGAGCTTAGAAGTTTTTCTTCTCTSAGAAGTCTCTCTGCCTCTCTTCTTATGTACTCGCCTTTTTGCTTTTCTTCTCGAATATCCTCYTCTAGKGACMACCTRAGCTTCTCTTCTTGTTCTCTTTCTCCTCTAAGTCGYTTCTCAGTTTCTTCTTTGATCTTTTCTAGTTCTTCACCTTCTTGAAAAAGACGTTTCTCAGCTTCTTCCCTGATTTGCTGCTCGCGTCGTCGGTGTAATTCTAACCTRTCCTGCGCTTCTTTCTTGATTCTATCCTCTCGAAGTTTAATTTGTTTGAGTTTGAGTTCGGCTTCCTTTCGWATCTCCTCTTCTCGTCGTACTTGGAAGTTTGAGAGCTTCTCCTCTGTAAATAGAAAAAWGGAGTCTTTCATGCTGTGCTAAAACACAAAGACCCTTTATGCTGGTCTTAATAAATGGATTAATCAAAATAGTTTTGTGTMAGTTTTCGGGCAACTTATAAAGTCACCAATGATGAAGATCAAATTTTAGACGATGACTCTCAGAGAAATTATTTTAAAATCCTATTTTCAAAATACAGTTCTTCAGTCTCCTAAATGCAATAATTAAAACATTTGTAAAACATGTTGTTTACGTTTATCGATACAATGGAGTKCTAAGGCCCAAACATTTTCACAAAAACGTTGAAACATTTGAAGTCACCGCCWAAAGAAAATATAGACACATTGACACCCTAACTTGAAGTCAGTTTATTAATGCTTAGTTTAAGGCGCACATTATAAACTTAATCGAAGAGCAATTTTTRGCCACATATTTGCATTGGGATTTGCGGCAAGTATTCTCAAGTTWTTCATAMATGCGCAACACTGCAGGCACTACAAATTGAAGTTCGTAATAAGCAARGGAAAACTATAAAAAATTCCCGCTTAAAAATWAATCTGGATTGTAAGAAGATCGTATTGCGAAACTKCCACATATTTGCATTGCAATTTAGTCGATTCTACTCATGTTCTGTCATAAATCCAAATCGCTGTAGACATTACAAGATTGCGGTTATTAATGTGCAAAGAAAAAATATAAAATTTCCAGCTTAAAAAGTATAGCGGGATTGTAAGCAGAGTGTTGATTGCGAAATGACGCGAACCAAAATAAAAGCCCCAAAAGAAATTGCATAGACAGAAACTAAGATTTAGGATTAAGATTTTAGGAACGCCGATCCACACCAAAGGTTTAAAACATGCAACTTAGATATCATGCATRTTTCTCATTGCGAAATAAGAACCAATCATTATTCATAAACCAAGGACAGACAGCAGATTCTAATATTYCAAAGTCAATAAAGCAATGTTGCAAAAATATATATATATATATTCATCAAATAAATTTAAGAGCAAAATATATACCTTAGTKTTAAGAATTCTTCTCTCAAAGACGTAGATAATGGACGAAATCTGGTTCGAAGTGATCACAGTCACATACCGACGTGAGGATCTGTCACGTGACCATGAAATATCATAATTTATTAAATACTTTACATTTGGAGTCTTTTCATGTACATATATAGTGATAATGAAAACTTTAAGATGTATTGAATAACAAGTATTGATGTTTGAAGCAAAATATAAAAATATACACAACCCTTAAAAAAATTGATATCGAGAATTTGGGTAACAATGAAACTCGAGAAACTAAAATATTTCTTTCTAGGTTGGTTATTATCGCGCCTGAAAACTCTAAAATTTTAAGTTTAATGTAGTAAGGACATACTTTATAAACAGATAAAACATATTTTTCAATGTTGATATATATATACATGTATTTTTTTCTTTTCTCATATTTGAATAAATTTTAACTTCGCATTCTATTCATGTGATCGTAATGACATATTTTAGAGCGAGGACATCTAAGCAGTGAAAGTGTCAAGGTKTGATAGTCAAGAAGACTCAATTGATCGTAATAAAGAGTACAAACACTATAAGCGTGAAAAAGTAAGATTGCATTCATCATATCAGTGAAATATTTTAATATTCTGGTATTAATGGAAATATTTTTGATTATCAAAACCGACGAGTTTGAAAACGATTGTGAATGGATATCTGGAGGGGTTTTTTTCATTTCTGAAAAATCTAAAACACGATCGCATTGAATATCACTCGACAATGGCTCCTTATATGTATTCTTCAGTATCCTTCGTTTTCAAGTTACTTCACATCGGCCATCTTGGAGGAACTTCAACAAAGGATTTCTCATTAGTATCTATGGTTGATTCCTCCAACATGGCCGCCGGTCTTTTATCTTTTGAATCTCATGAGAATGGTTGAAAACGATCGTTTATTTTCTTGTTAATTTTATTGAAGGACTGCAAGATGATGTCATATGACGTTTAATCGTAGTCTGGGATTATTTCTAACAAAACGGGCATTACCGCATCGATTGACTAAATAGCATTTAATTTTCGCGCCAAATCAAAACTAATAACTAATAAMAATTRGTAGCTCCTCCCCCGACCTCCCTCCCCTAGAGCCGCTRCGCAGGCTAGTCGGAATACGTATGCTTGAAAAGTAAAGAGGAGATACAAAASCCCTCAAACAGAAAAACAMACTTTAGTAAACAACACTGATTTTGTTGTTACTCTTTGGTAATAAAATATGCCGTTTAAAGACAAAACTCTTAGGTAAATATGTTTTGGACTTTAAAAAAACCTAATACTCAGAAAGGCTGTCTGTTAATTATACTAAAGTTCSCAGATGTTTAGATTCTGGTTATTGCGGAGATTACGTTACACATCATAGATAAGAATAGCTAGGACAAAGGATAAAAAAAGCAGATTGATTGATACAGAAATTTAGTAAAAAGGTTAAATTAAACATTGTTGTATTAATCCAGGAATTGTTTATACAGTATGTATATTTTAAGGGTATAAGCGAAACAATTAAGCAGATAAGACTTTAAACTAGAAAAGAAAAATAGTTCATATTTAATATTCWGAGTTTTAAAGTGTTGAAATATAAAAGTAATTACTCCACAATTTMATCGTTTTTATGATGAAAAACACCTGATATACGAGTGTGTTAAACCAAGGATATCACCAATTTGATTGAGATTATGTGAAAATGKATAGTTTCATTGCGTGAATAACACTTTCCTTTGTTTATGTCTGTCTGAAACTAAAMATTTCCTGCAGTTGTTTTTGGATAATTRCTTGAATCAAAAACAAACTCTCTCGAAGGCAGATTTCGCGCTGATTAAAACATGAYATCAATTTGCAAATTGTACGTTAACATCCTAGGTTATCATACTAAAATATTTCGATTTTTCTTTACCTCGGGAATAATGTATACAAAAAAGTSCTTTAAACCAATAAGTGTAAACAATGCATTGTATTGTAAATGGGAATTATATAAATCATATATACTCGGCTTTGATCATTCGTTCGAGAACCTCCAATCGAAAGAATACATTTCGTGTATTATCATCCACCGCGATATTGGGTAAGATTTTGTATACTTTTAAACATACGAAGGAAATAAACAGAAAGAAAAAGACTTTTGAATTACAAATTATTCAGATAATACATTGAGCTGATGTTTTGTCAAATGTGGGACGGTGAAGACGTGTTTTAAATCTATTTTAACTGTACCTGCAATGAGAGTGTACTCCCGTTTCTGCAGAGGCACACGACGACGATCGAAGCTACTCCACTGTCTTAACAAATGATGAAAACAAGCTATGCAAACTAAGGCTTTTCCAGAATCATCATACACAGTCTCTTGTCCTCGAATCTTCCCAAGTATTGGGAAAAAAGGACTCTTTGCCTGTTCACGGACATACAACCACTTGTCGAAACCATTTGTGGAGTTGTTRCAAAAAGTACAAAATCTTACGATGATAGACTCTTTTTCTGATGTTTTTCCCATGGTGGACGCCATTTTGAAAATCGTTCTCGCGGGATATGTAAAACTAGCGGATGTTGTTAGGGAAGTACCATGTACACTATTGAAGCTACTGATCCTCTATTGTCTGTCCATAATTTAAATAATAATGTACTAAAACTTCAGGAAGTTTAAATGATTTTGTAGCACATTTGGGACGAGKTGTAATTTATGCAGCGCTCAAATGGTTTGGTAATTATTCTGGTTAGAGATCAAGGACATTATTGTTTCTTGTTCAATARCAACCATTGCTTCGATGGTCGYCCTGTRCTCTCATTGGTTCAAATCGTGTATTTGGATTACCGCTAATACAAAACAAACACACTCCATCTAGCACTTCGGTACAAATCTTCCTTCATGTCAAGCAAAAAAGTTCAAATAATGGTAGATSAACGCAAACATTCTCGTATTTASGATSGAGGATTCTATTCTGAAAATTAGTYCAAAAGAMGTTGCAAGCGAAAACGCGTTACTTCCATGAAAAATGGTTTCTTTGGCAACCGAAGCGCGAGAATAATAATCGATTTGGTGAATSTTRTTTGGTTTTCTAATAATACACTAATGTGAATTTCAAACAAATTCCATCGAAACCAACTAGAATGTTATAACTAATATTACTTGTCAATCAATGAAATTTGTATTGGCTTCGTTTTCGACAATGCATCTTTATATACCATATGTTAAACGCATGAAGGACATTTTTGGAAAAGGTTTTGGAAAAGTTTTTGATGAAAACTCAAACTAACAGCATTTTATTTTGCCTACARCTTTCGCAACTATATGCATATTTTTTCTGGTTCTTATATTTCAACTGTTATTTGCAGTTTTATTGCGGTCTTAATTAAAATGTAAAGGACATAATGTGTTGTGTGCCTATGTATGACGTTTACAACTGTTTCACAGCTTGACATAGATATCRCAAGTTGTCGATTTAATGTACTCGACGCAACTCGTTGCAAATATAACYCGCACAACTGTTTTGCAACTAGAATGAGACGATTCTAGCAAGTTGAAGCCTTATCTAGACGACGCAAACTCGTTTTATGTATTATGAAGTTTACAACTGTTTTACAGCTTGACTAAGATATCGCGAGTTGTCGACTTGATGTACTCGACGCAACTCGTTGAATATATAACYCGCACAACTTTTCTGAGATAGTTCTAGTTGGTTGCGAACWTTATCTACACTGACGCAATTCGATGATTGTATTATGACATTTACAGCTATTTTATCCTGCTTGACAATAAATATCGCGAGTTGTGGACACGACGCAACTCGCTGAATGTATCATGACGTTTTAAAAATGTAGCGAGTTGCAGACTTGATTTAAACCTCGCAAATCATTGAAGCTATGACGCGTACAGCCGTTTTACAACATGTCATCATCGATAAAACAAGAAACAGCAAATCGTCATACACATGACACGTGCATATAGYTCATTTATAGTTGTATATAACCAGCTTTTCCTTTGTGGTTAACATATACGAAAGATCACGAAGGGATTTTTTTTATATTTATTCTTCAAAAATTCTAAATTTATTGATTGAAAATGTGTTTTTGCCATTCGTGCAACTTGAAGGAATTCTCAATTCTGATTGGTTGAAAGTGGACTGTTGTCATTCGTGCAATTTCAAGGAATTCTCGATTCTGGTTGGTGGAAAGTGTGCTGTTGTACAAAGCTAAGTGTATTGTTGTGGCACRTACAATTTCAAGAAAACGTTTTTGCTCTATCATAATAATGTTGTTTTCAAAAAAAATATGACCAGGATAATCCAAATTGTGAAAAAAATAAATAAATAAAATTCCCACCAAACTCAAACAAAGAGTTTACCTCAATTGTAAATTTTTGCGATTTTTGATTGGTTGAGAGTCATGGTAAATGAAGTATACACAATAGTCGTGAGTTTTCGTTCAGTTTTTTTCCTTTATTTCTCTTTTTATTCATGTATTTGATTTACCAACCACGACTTTAAATTTGGAAATAAATGCTTTTCACTGTAGAAATTGATTCTCACTTTTGTGTTGTTTATAAGATGCGCATATGAACTTCTTTGTGGTAAAAATAATTGACTTGATAATAAAAAGATGACGATTAAATGACGCCAATCATACATCAACATACTTGGTACATGCCGCGAGAAAATATGAAAAATCTGTCACATGTAAATTTAAAATGTCTATTTTGGATCGAAGCCTTCCACATTTGTATTCTTGTAAGTCGGGATTTTACTTTAAAGTTTTAGCTGTCTTCTAATTCAATTGCATCCTCGGGAACCCAGGGGTTATCTTCTGTCGTTCGTTCCTCACTCCCAGAAAAAATACCGGGGTATTTTTTCTGGGAGTGAGGAACGAACGACAGAAGATAACCCCTGGGTTCCCGAGGATGATTCAATTGACCAATAATGAAAAGACGCCCATCAATCTTTTCCCAAATTGAAAAACACTTACTAGAGCACTTGATAGAGTCATCTTTTGGCTAAATATGGAGCTCTTTGCGCGTTGCGTGATGCGTACGTTTTGCGTTACTCACGCATTACAAGATAGAGATCTAAAAACTGTAAAAAAATGCGTTTTCTCTATGTAATTTGAGTCTATATTAAAAGAACTTTTAGTAGCTTGTTCTAAGGAATTAGGTGATTATTGCCCAATATTTATTTTACACGATAACATGACAGAAACTAAGCCCAGATAATCTGTCGAATAAATATTAATTGTCACTT